AAATGAAATACCTTTCACTAGAGTCTTACAAATCAATCATTTTTTATTACACATAATATTGCATTTGTATGAAAATTTATTGTTACTTATTTCGTGATCATTTGCAGTCAATTTACAGGATTCATATAATATTCAGTGTACAAACAGTATTTTACCATAAAATGTACTAATCGTTTGTAATTATAATAATGCAATTGTTTTGTGTCTATTATATTATGTAATAACATGTAATATAAATGTTAAGTAGAAGTGCATTTGAATAAAGATTTCATAATTGAAAAAGAGATGGATTGATGAGATTGTGATGAGTAGTGAAATGTAGCGATTGATTGACCAATGAATTAGTTGATGGTATGAATAGTGGTTTAACCGCAAGACTAGATGTATTGGTTGTTTGGGTCGAACTTCATCTCCGCTCTGAGGAAAGTATACCAATAAACCAAATTCATTATAACGAAAAGCAATGGAAATATAACGCGAGATATCCTATCGATTTTGGAGACACTATTCAACTGAAGGGTAATCGCCGGACGACGACGTGATTTCTTGCGAGAGAATGTGTTCCTAATTGAGGCACGAATTGATGACAAGCGACTCATTTGTCGCTCGTTTTCTCTCTTCATCGTCGCCGCCGACGAGTGTCTATCCATTTGTTGATGACTACAACCGAAAGTACTGGTCGTCGGCTGTTGTATGTCGTAATCGTAATCGTAGTGTTGTATCGGTTGCGACGCCTGCGATGACGAGCCCGAAGACACGGCATCCATGTTATCGTCTTTCTTGAGTACAATCACTGCCCGATCTCTTTCGGTCGAATAGATCTCGCTTTGCTGTCTATCAAACTGTCGTACAATTCAATTACACTTTCAATTAGGCAAAAGCAAAAGGTCTAAAAGTTACAAATGGGGTCAAAATAACCATGGCGGTCAAGAAAGCCGCGATTAACCCTGGGTTAACCCTTTGACCCTCAAAATTTGGAAAAATTCTCACAAATAAAGAATATTCACAAAACGAATGGATTAAATCTCGAAATGAGTCGTTTCTAACCCCGCTCATGTCACTTTTTTTTACTCCTCCCCCACTCCGTACCATTAATACACAAACTTAAAAACACAGTCTTTACGTTTTAAACTATTTTGTTATATCATAGTTGTTGTCACAATTTGCCACAAAAGTATGACATCAGAGGGTCAAAAGGTTAACCAAGTTTTCTGTTTTTTTTCTGTTTGACTTTTAACCTTAACCCTGGGTTACAAATTTGACCCCGAGTTAACCCTCCCTCAGACAAAACCTCAGTCAAAATGTCAAACCTCTACATTCGGTTAATTTCCTCTGATATGTCATGTCATGTGAATGTACTGTATATATAAGTCATGTCTTCTAATAATTAATTAAATTAGATTTTAGGTCTTTTTTAAATCACTTAATGTATTCAATGAGTGTTTTGTATAATTTAATAAAATCTTATCTTATTGTTTGATTTTTATTGTGTGCTTCAAGAATGACACTAATTGTGACTTAAAGGTAGCAAAAAAGCGAGTATTAATTGGAAACTTAGGCCAAACTCACTATAATTGGACTCTCTTTGGAAGTGTCTCTAACTCTACGAATGTAATCATTATCTGCGGTCTCTTCCCTCACATCGTGTCTACTTTTATTGCTCTCAGGCCTGAGTCCAGCGGTCATAACAGTGCGCACAGTATGCGCGCCATCCGTATAATCGTCATAGTCTTCATACTCGTCACCACTGGAGTAGTTGTCGTCCATTTCAGAGCTGTTCTCGAGTTGCATGAAAGACGTCGGAGAGAAGTAATACTCACCCGAACCTTACATAGTGTTCAATACAGTTATGCCGTGAATGGGATTCGCATTCATTACACAACATCTAAATAAATACCAATTTTGGTGAAGAAGTGCACAAAACCAAACTCCAGAATTGTGGCAGAAATGAACGCAAAGCTTATGTATACGAAATAGTCGAGTGCTGTAAGACTTAAGACAACATATTTGTAATCAATCTCTTATTCCATTGCTTGAGAAACAAATAAACACTTAAAGTATGATAAGTCAGTCAAATGTATTCATTGCATACCAAATGTATTGAGATAGAGACAGGGTTTGGGTTGGCGTAAAAGCTATACAAACTGTACATACTATGGCACTTTTGGCAAATCGTTTCTCAACTCCAGGCCCAGGAATGTCATCGTTAGGACAGTTGTCAGACCTAATTGTTGTTATCAATGAAAAAATATTTCAATGAATTTATGAAAGAATCCCAAATAGAAAGTCAGAGCTCACCCAATGTTATTCTATCGGCTAATTGCATGAAATGATCACATTTATAGCAATTATAGGAAATAATGTAAAGTTTGAATCATAATGATTATCAATGATAACTCACCCGTTGCCTCTCTGTTGATCCAAAAGCTAAAAGTGTTTTGCAATTTAGTTAAACATGAAATTTAATGAAGAATAAAGTGAGTGAAGAGTAGCACCTGACCCATGAGAGCACAACCAACATAATACAGGGCGCGTATACTTCAATCACAAAGGATCCCATGTGTCGCTGGAAGTGAAAACTGGCCAATAGTATAGAATATGGTCCGTCTGATTGTGGATAATATACAGAATAAACAGAATATTCTTTCATTAAAACAAACTAATTGATATGTATTTACCTTTGCGTTCGTCGTTAGTCTTATTGCCAACGGGAACAGCGATCAGATCAAACTGAGACATCTTCATGTCGGGATTGATGACCACTTTTCGGGCCGGATTCCAGCTATAGACCACTTCTTGCATCGAATATCCAACTGTTTTACGAATTAAATAAATAATATAATCAGAAATTGCATCAAATTGAATGAGTAATCAATGAACTGACAGCTGCCTAATGCGAGCGGACATCTCTGTCAAACATAAAGAAAAAACCAATTATAAAATCAATTGAAAATTTCATTTTTGTCTGAGACTGTGATCACCTGAGTATCCATTGGAAAGTTGGCTAAATTCATCGGACAGTTGGCTGTGATTGTCATTCTATGCAATATTATAAATAAATGCAAACATGTATAGACATGTATTTTAATGGGAATTTT